CTTTCTCTCTTTCTCTCTCTCGCTCCCCCCCTCTCTCTCTTTCTCTAGCTCTCTCTCTCCCCCTCTCTTCCCCCTCTGCCTTCCTCACCTTTTTGCCACTTGTGTAGCGAAGAAAACAGGACGACGAAGAAGGTCGTCGAGTATTTGCCGGCGTTGGCGAGATGAGGGAATGCTAGTCGCGTGTCACGGTAGCGGCGCAGGCACTGCACGAAGCGCCACCAGGCGGGCAGGCACGAGATGAGCGGTCGCAGGCCGTAGATGTTCGACATGCACACGTCCGACTTGAACTCGGTGCTGCCCGACGCTGCGGCGGGGGAAGAGACGAAAGACGTTAGGCGCAGTCTATACGGGTGGGTACACGTGGCGCCACATGTAGGGCGTCGATGGAATTAATGAAAAAAGACTTCGTAATTTAAGAATAACGCGTCGCGACGTAACCATACGTTTTGTGTGCGGTAATATCAGAGAAACCAAGACTTCTTCATAATTTAAGATACGCTTGACTCTTACTTTATCTATAGTTTACGATGTCAGCTTGTGTGCTATTTAAACATTTTTATAGTCGTTATAGCAAGTGCACTATATTGCTGTGCATAGCAAAGAGAACACCTTTAGGTTCTTATTGTATCAACATAGAGAATAACCATAGCCATGTTCCGCACACACAAGACTTACCAGACACACCCATATACACACAAATGCTAAATACTACCACCCACCCCACACCCCTGCGACCTCTTCCTCACCGGTGAACGAGCTCCAGTTGAAGCGGAATGCATAGAAGCAGACGAAGTACTGCATGTCGATGATAACCGCTGTTAGGCTGTTTAGCTGGTCGGCCACAACTCCATACCTCCTCCTCACTACCCCACCCACCCTCCTCCTCCTCCTCACCATCACCCACCCAAACCCGTCACAACCCACCCAAACTCCCTCATCACCCACCCGAACCCCCTCACAACCCACCCATACCCCTTTCCCACCCACCCACACCAACCTCCTCGTCATCATCCCCACACCCCTGCAACCTCCTCCTCACCGGTGAACGAGCTCCAGTCGAAGCTGAATGCATAAAAGCAGACGAAGTACTGCATGTCGATGATAACTGCTGTTAGGCTGTTTAGCTGGTCGGCGAGCCAGAAGTCCGCAAAGCCGACGTGGTGGAACGGCGCCGTCACGATCCGCCACTGTTGAGACATGAGCGAGACACGCATGAGACACATTAACACACACGCGAGACACGTTAATACAGACGTGGTGGAACGGCGTCGTCACGATCCGCCACTGTTAAGACGTGGGCGAGACACGCATGAGACACATTAACACACACGCGAGACACGTTAATACAGACGTGGTGGAACGGCGTCGGCACGATCCGCCACTGTCGAGACACGAGCGAGACACATTAACACACACACGCGAGATACGTTAATACAGACATTAATAGAGATGTGGTGGAACGGCATCGTGATGATCCGCGACTGTCGACATGCGTTAATACATGCGTGAGACAGCACGAGATGCGTTAATACATGCGTGAGACAGCACGAGACACGTTAATGTACGCATGAGGTAGCGCGAGATGCGTTAATACACACGCGAGACGTGTCAACACGTACGTGAGACACACCACACACGCGAGACAGAATGGCAGAGTAGGACGAATGTAATCGACTGTACACGCGTTACATCACCAGCGGCCACCGCCGCCGCCGTCACGATCGATGCCAGAAAAGCGCGACGCTCCCGAAATCCGACGCCTCGCGTCGTTTTTCGCATTTAACGTTTCGGCGGCGAGGCAAGTTCCCACGCGAGGCGCGACGCGACGCCTATAACGAGCTTTTCGTGAGGTTTCGATTTCACTTCAGTTCATTTGCAGCCGCAGCGACAAAGCGAAAAACACAACAGCAGCAGGTTCGTCTAGCAAGCGATCGCGTCCTAACGCGCGAGCGTCGTCTGCGAAAAATACGAAATGATAGAAATATGCCGGTTTAATTCAGCGATGCATTCACTATACGGTTACTAGGCGGCGAGTTGCGAGGAAAAAGCAGCGATAGAAAAATGGGACGGCATTTAACAGCCGCAGGTGCGAACATCGCAGGATCCGCTCACGCTGGGCTCTAAAAATCCAGGTTTCTGCAAAGAATCGCATTCTGTTTAAATGTTCCACCTACTTACACTACCCACACGCAACGCTGCCATACAATCACGCCCAGTATGGAACGCTTCCCAGGATTAAAACCTAAACCTCAACCTAAACCTAAAACTTCAAAATTAAGGCAATAGAAGAAATAATTCTCCGAAAACGATTACACCAAATACAGGAAAAAACCTCAGATTCAAAACTAAACCACCAATATAAAAAAAAACACTTAAAACTAAAGATTAAAAAGGAGGAAAAAGACGAAAGAGAAGTCACGAAGCAGATATTAGTGTTACTACAACAACTAGCGGACTACTCACAATAACTTTGAGCAGCCAGAACCTGGCACTATGGTAGAAGCACTTGAATGGATTCAGTAGGAATGTGATCATGAAGAGGATTAGCACCAGCGGCTGTACTAGACTCTTGATCATGATGATATCGCCGTACATGTAGCTGAGGCCGCTCAGACACCAGACCATCATCAGGAATGACGCCACCTGCAGGCAGACGAAGAAAGCGCGAGATGTCAGACGGTATGCGATGCGCGTGCGTGCATGCGCGTCTAGGTTAGAGTGCGCGTGTGCATATGCGAGTGTGCGTGGCTGTGAGTGTGCGTGCCTGCGAGTGTGCATGTGTATGAGTGTGCATGTATGCGAGTTAATGAGGGTGATGTGTGTGGATATTTGTGGTGTCATCACATGAGATAATGTGACGTGTGTGACAGCGTGACAATGCACGTTGCCACATGACAACATGCGTGGCATCACACACGACAGCGTGACTACGTATGTGATGGCATGCAAGACGGCAAGACAACACACGTGACCGTGTGACGTCGTACTTGACAACATGTGTGACATGGACCTGCGCGTGACAACACGCGTTGCGGTCTGACGTCGTGCGTGTGACAGCATGGTGACAGCATGTGATAACACTCGCGACAACGTGAAGTCGCTCTCTCACCTCGGACAGCTGCTGGTGGTCGAGGTTGTCGCGCGGGTCGAGCTCGAAGATCAGCACGTGGTTGACCCCGGACGACCTCCAGCCGTACGTGTTCACGCTGAGCAGGAAGCAGAAGAGGACGACGAGGAACGCTCCTCGGTACATCCGCAGCGCCGGCCGCCAGTCGGTCGGCACCTCGACGAATAAGGCTGCGGGACGAGAAACGTAGTCGACGGTTTAAATTTGAGATGGGCACCGACGTTGTGCGTTGATGGTTGAAAGGATTTATTTCGAAATTATTGCTCAAAAACGCGCAATCTGAAAAAAATATAGCGAAAAATAATGTCTCACGTAATACTGATGAAAATGCGGCGACGGTTTAAATTTGAGATGGGCGCCGACGTTGTGCGCCATCGCGGAGGCGACGCCCGGTTCTCGGGATGCGCACACGTTAATTTCGTTTTCATTTGTGATTTCATAATTACATAAATGAATACGCAATTAAAATTTCGTTTTTATTTTCGTAATTACATTTCTTTGTTAATTTTTGTCAATTACACATTGATTGCATTCAGTATATTCCCTTTTAAAGGATTTATTTCGAAATTAATTGTTCAATAACGCACAATCTGAAAGAAAAATAGCAAAATATAGTCTTGCCTAATAGCAGATATATTACTGATTACACCGATTTGAAAAACACTAAGAATTTATGCTGTTATAGCATAGAAAATTGGAATCGAACATGCCGTACCACCATGGCATATTTGATTATATAGCAACAATTAATTAGCAAATGGCGCATTCAAACCAAGTGCACCCATAGTGCACCTAATTCAAATAAAAGGGCATTTGATTCTGTGTAGTGTACTCCGTTCCTATTTTTAAATTCGCCAATATCGCGATAGTGCGAGATATGTAAGTACGAGATGTATAGTACGAGATATGTAAATACGAGATGTATAGTATGAGATATGTAAGTACGAGATGTATAGTACGAGATATGTAAATACGAGAAGTATAGTACGAGATTCGCAAGAAATGGCAGCGAAAATAAAAACGAGTAATCAAAATTAGAATCGTGCATGATTTGGTGAATACAGCCAAGTACGAAGGTTCTAAGACATGTTAGCGTTACACTAGACAGTCGCTGTTACTCAAGCAGTAACGGTAAGTATCGTAAACGTGGGGAAAACACGAGACTGGAATTATCTTCGAAATCCTGGCTTTAATTCGATACAGGCGTATGTGTCGAGCCGGCGGCATCCGATTCTTGAGACGCGTACATGTTAATTGCGTTTTCATTTATGTTTTCTACGTTCTTCTTTATTAATTTTTGTCAAGTGCACATTAATTACATTCAGTATGTATGTTCCCGTTTAATTGAAGATACTCTTCTCTTTTCGAAGATCGGAACACCGTAGCACCCTCACTGCTGACATTAATTAAACATTTAATTAATAAAGGCAGATTTTGTTTAGGTATTTAACGATACGATGCACTTTGTTTACCCCATTTAATTATCGATAAGATGCCATCTTTGATTTACCCATTAAACTATAGGATGCTGTCCTTAATTACTCATTTAACGATAACATGCAAAGTTTGTTTACCTATTTAATTACGCATAAGACGCAGACGCTTAGACTAGAGTGCAGGCGCTTAACTATAATGGGGTTAGTCGTGTTGTTTCGTCTCCCCCTCTGCTCATTATAACAACGTCGTCATTGCCAGGGAAGGGCTTCACACCATCCCTCCCATCAGTGGTTAGCGGGGACAGGAGCATGCAAGTTTCATCGATTCTTAGCATAACCGGCTTTTATTTTGATTTTCTGACTCGCGTCAAACCTTGGTTGAAATCGGATTAAATATTTGAAGGAGGAGGCCTGGAGGGACGTCTCTAAGGGACGCAGATTCAATGCCACTACTCGCACGGAAAGGGGAGGGGAAGGGCTTGACCGTCTCCAAGGGACGCAGACTCACTGTCACTACCAGCGTGTGTGAAGGAGGAGGCCTGGACCGTCTCTACAGGACATAGATCCACTGCAACTACCCGCGTGTGTGAAGGAGGAGGCCTGGACCGTCTCTACAGGACATAGATCCACTGCCACTACCCGCGTGTGTGAAGGAGGAGGCCTGCACTGTATCTACAGAACATAGATCCACTGCCAGTACACCTACGCGTCTTCAACCAGCTAATCAGGCGACGCCCCCGAGCTATTAAGTTAGCGATAAACACAATTAAATCCCAGTTAAATCGGCTTGTACATAACGAACTTAGCTATGCAGGGAAGTAGCGCTGGTGCGTGCGAGCTATCTTCAGACCTGCCAAGAGTGTTCAACCAGCTTGCTGGAGGTTCAGTTAGATTTTGCTGGAGAATGGGTCATTCTGGGAGTATAATGCTGGGGGTTCAGAATATTTTCAAACACGACCAGTTTCTGAATATTTGGCTTAATGTATTTGCAATAAATATATTCTGTCAGCCTTCAAAGAAAAAAAGAAAAAATTAAATTTAAGGCATAAAAACTTTAATTCTGAAGTTGTTACATACAGTTTTTTTTCTTTTGCGTGAATGCGTGAGAATGCCTAGGGCATGCGGGAGTGCGGGAGAATGGGTCCAGATGCGTGAGTCTCCCGCGAAATGCGTGAGACTTGGTAGGTCTGTGTGTTGACTTGAGTCCACGAACTGCCGTTCAACCTATGGATGTCTATAGGCGCCAACTTTTATTGGAGTATCACGTCATTCTTTGTTTACGTCTTTGTTCACATCTTTTGTATATATATATATCCTTAAATTGACTACATCACAAATTTTCTATGGTGTATATTTGTAAAATGTTTGTTGCAATTTTTTTACATGAAAAGTAAGTACTAACGGCACTAAATGTGGCACTAATCCTCAAATTCTTACCTGATAAGACTGTTTTTCAACTAGTTAAAATCCAAATATATCCATAAAATCTGGGTGATTTGATATATTGATCAAGATATTAAATGCTTGCTATAGGCTATGTATGAGTCACAAGTGTTTGTTCACATCGAACAGAATAATTAGCCAAATAGGAAGAATAATGCAGCAATTTAACCATAAAAAGTGAACAGAATCACTTTCATTTTGTGAAAAAGTGGATATCATTTTTTTACCTTTACTATTTTTGGTGACGTAATCACTTTAATATATCCGCAATTGTGCATCCTTTGTTGATGCCTTGAATCGATCTTTATTTATATCCTACTATATCCTTGTGTATCCTTTATTGATCCTTTGTATATTTTTAATATATCTTTGCGTGTATATTTGTATATATCCTGAGATATCCTTGCACCTGTATCCTGGCTTCTATTCGTGCTTTCTATATATCGCTGTAAATCGGCGTGTATCGTGGGGTCGTTCGGCGGGTAGTGCTTTGTGTATGTGTTTGTACATGCTCGTGTCTTGACACCTCTCGTTCAAACTCCTGCACATTTATAATGATCACACGCATCACCTTACAACATATCCCCTATACTACTTGTATTTCCGCCACGTAATTGGTCTCGTGATCAACGGCAAATGATCTCCGTAACGCAACGCCAGACAAACGCACTTTCTCTCGCTGTCTCGTTTTGTAGTTTTCTCACGCTCACTCTCCCTTTCTCTCTCTCACTGCCTTTCTCCCTCTTCCACTCGCTTGCTCTCTCAATCACTTTCTCTCTCTCTCTCCCGCTCTCATTGTCTTTCTCCGCCACTCGCTCACGTGTTCTCTTTCTTTCTCTCTTTCTCTCGCAATTGATAAAACAACTCGATGGACATGGTACTACAGCACAAATAGCGACGTCAAGGGAGCGTGTTAGTATTTAACCTGCGGTACATCCGTACACACAGGATCGAAAACCATTACTATGCTAGAATAACCCATGCTCAACGACGACGACGACAACAACGATGACGACGATGACGACGACAGCAATGACAACGATGACGACCACAGCGATGACAACGATGACGATAACGACGACGGCGATGACGACGATGGCCATGGCCTCGTGTGACATAATATCAGGGCCGGATGAAATACAGCGGCTTCTACTTCAGCGCGGCAATTAATCACACTCGCGACGATCGGAGCTTTTTTGTCCCCCGATCGCTTCAATTCCTCCCCGCAGATTGGATTTCCTCTCCACACATCCTCCGACTCAACGAGGCAAAATTTCGAAATGTCGTCCCCGCGTTCAAGAAGAACGGAGAAAGTTCACCGCCGCCTTCCGCTCGCAACACAGCGAGTTTTTCGACACATCTTACTGATTAGGTAGGTAGGTAGACAGGCAGGCAGACGTGTGTTTATCCGCACACCATCCGCACACAGCGTGACAAAACGCTGACGGTTTTGAAAGGTTACGCGTCAGATAAAATGTCTTCTAAATGTCGCCCGTCTTTCCGCAAACACGCGTGTGTCATGTCAGACGCTAGACTGTCCTATAGTCCGTATATTCTGCCTTCTCGCAAGCAGGAAACGTTGCAGTTTTTACACATTACCTATATCAGCTATACCTCTCTCTACCTTCTGCCCCCCCCTCCGCAAACACGCGTATGTTATGCTTTAGCTAGAATTCTCTACATTCTGCCTTCTCGCGAACACGCAACGTTGTGTACATTCCCTATTAACATTATCAGCTACACCTCTCTACCTTCTGCTTTCCCGCAAACGCGCGTGTGTCATGGTTTAGCTATAGACATCTATGTTCTGCCTCCCGCGGGCAACATAACACGCAAAGTTGCTGTTGTAACATTTACCATGAGCACAAACGCTTTTGATATTCTCGCCTGAGGTAGACCTCCGCATCTCCCCCCCCCCCTTGCCTCACACGCACACGTACTTACAGGCACGCACGCACGCACGCACGAACGCACGCACGCACGCACAAACACAAACAAAAACACACTCGCGCGTGTTTTCCTAAACTAGAGTTTACACCGCACCGTGACGGAAGGATGCAGTTATACAAATGATCACAACATGGCCTGTACTCACCGCCCCTTGTCATTTGCTGCCTCATATCTATATATTATATTTCTATATCTATATATCATATCTATATATATATATATCCCTATCAACCCCCAGCCCCTGGCATTAGCTGCTCGCGTCATGACGGACGTCGTGTATAAGTGCCGCCACTACGCGAAATTACGCGCGAAAATTACCCCCAAAAATATCGCGCGAAACA